GCTTAATCTATTCAAAACATTAAGTGATGATTCTTAGATGTCATTTACATGCTTTCTCGGCTACAGGATTGTCAGCCTGTTTTTACAGATCTTTAAACATCTAGGGAATTATAGAATGAATAAGTCAAAGGAAATCAGAATTCATGAATTCAGAGGACAACCTGTGGGAACCACTTCTCCCTTCTACTGTGTAGGTCCTAGAGGTTGACCAAGTCATTCAGCTTGGTGGCAGGTGCCTTTACCTGATGAGCCATTATACCAGACCAACTATTTTAATTAGTTGCTAAATTTGTGTTTGGTCCCCAGTTAGTGGGACTGTTTGGGAAGGATTGGGAGGTGTGGCTTTGCTAGAGTGGGTGTGGCCTTGTTGGAGGAGGTGTGTTGGGGGGAGTCAGCTTTGAGATTCCAAAAGTCATTACCATATTCAGTCTTGCTCTCTCTTCCTGTAACTTGCAGATTATGTGAGCTCTCAGCTACCATGCCTCCCTGCCACCAAGATCCTGCCGTAATTATCATGGTCTCACCCCCTGGAACTGTAAGGAAGCACCCAATTAAGTGCTATCATTTAAAAGTTGCCTTGATCATGGTGTCTCCTTACAGCAATGGAGAGAATCCCTAACCCACAACAATCTTTTTTGAGACAAGGTCTCACGTATCCCAGCCTGGCTATGGATTTACTATGTAGCCAAGGATAATACTGAATTTTCAATCCTCTTGCCTCTGCCTCCCAATTGCTGAGATTAGAGGTGTTGGCCATCATACCTTGTTTATGTTACTAGACATTAAACATAACATTAATTTAATTAATTAATTAATTAATATTAATTAAATGTAAACCAACTGAATTTCTTTCATCTCTCTTCAGCCTCCTCTCAAAGGGAGCAATTGCTGTCCTTGATTTTGTTCTTTCATTACCACAAAAGGAAAAAATAGTTCCAACAATTCCTCTTGGTGTTGATGCCAGTATATGACCCTTCCCTAAGTTTGGACTGGACCCAGTGATCTGCTTCTAACAAGCAGAATACAGCAAATGTATTGAGATGTCACTTAAATGATTACATTAGATAAGACTCTGTTGTGTCAGGAAGTGTCTGAACCCTAAAAGGCCACCAAGGAACTGTCTCCGATGTATCATAGTAGGGCAACATTCTTCCAACTGAGATACAGTCCCCTTTATACAAACTGGAATTTGGGCTTACACACACACACACACACACACACACACACACACACACACTGACCCACAGGAGGGTTTGATGAAACAGCCCTGAACTCTCATAGGGCAAGGTTCTATAGAAAATGGGATCTCCATTCTGGCAAGCATCTAACTGAATGTCTATTGGAAGCCAACAGGTGGGTGCTCTGAAGCAAGACCATATACAATCACAAACGGTCTGAAGGCACATCTGAAACAATCGAACTAATCTTTGATTAACTGTTGCTAAGAAGTAGCTAGGGAGTAACTCTTACCAAGGACAAGGCCACCTTCCTGGTACTTGGATTTAGTTGTAGGTCAAGTTCTCAGGCTTTTTCTTTTTTCTTTTTCTTTTTTTGTTTTTCTTTTTTTTTTTTTTAAAGATGGAGGCTGGTTCCAAGATGGAGGTTTGGTGTCTCGTGTGTAATTTTCTTTTTGCTACATACTCATATAAAATATTTAATGTTGTTTTTAATTATGTGTATGTGTATCAACATATGTGCAGGTGCCCTCAGAAACCAGAGGTAGCAGACGCCCTGGAACTAGAGTTACAGGCAGTTATTGTGTGTGCTGGGAATTGAATTCTATCCTTACAAGAGCAGTACATACGCTTAATCACTGGGCTTTATCTCAAGCCCTTTAACTAATTAATTATTTGAGACAGAGTCTCAAATTGGCCCTGGATAGCCAATGTGGAACTTGCCATGTAGACCAGACTGGCCTTGACCTCACAGAAATAGAACTGCCTCTGCCTCCCAAGTGCTAGGATTAAAGGTGTGCAGAACCACAACTGGTTTGCTAGCCCATTCTTTACTTTCTCACTTGCCAGCTTTGGTAAATTACCAGAAGCCTGGTAAATAATAATAATAACAAGCTACTATGGAGCCAGCAAGATTGCTCAGCGGATAACGGCATTTGCCACAACCTAAATGGTGACGTGTGCAGAGAAGAGAATGCAGGTAAAAGTCAGTTTTCTCCTTCGACGTAGGCGTAATGTTATTGTGCACTGTGTAAAGATTATCGATGGATTATTCAAATGCCGATTTCTCTGCCTCCAGTATCTGGTTGCAATCTGGACGTGGCATTGTAATACTTATTCTAAAAAAATCTCCGGTCTCATTGTTGTGTAAACATTGCTCCCCATTTGTTCTTTGATTTGTCAATAAAAGCTGGCTAGCCAATGGCTGAGAAGAAAGAGAATAGGGCTGGACTTTCAATCCTAGCCCGGAGGGAAAGGACAAAAAAGGAGGGGAGGGAGGGGAGGGGAGAAGAGAGGAGAGGGGAGGGGAAGAGAGAATTCACCAGGAGAAAAGGACACACCTGGAACAGAGAGCGCCCGATCAATAAAAAAATGCAAGGATCTCAGGGATTTTGGCTGAAAGTAGCTAGATTAGCTCAGAAGATTAGAATAGATTAATAGCTGCCCAGCTATTTGCCATAAAGCTTGATTAAATAAATCTTATAGTCTCTATCTCATTTAATTGGGAACAAGTTGGGCTAAAGAAAAAATTATCACATTTTAAATTGCACTAACACTTCATTATGTGCTCAGGTTCTCTCTCCCCTCTCTCCCTCTCCCTCTCCCTCT